CTGATAGTTACTTCGGTTGCTCCAAGGTAAGCATGCGCGAGGCCGCGGTCGGACTTCGGTTCTGTGCGTGGCCCGGTGTACGCGCGACTCCGTTAGGTTGCTCAGTCAGGATAGGGAGCAGGTTCCTAAGCAAACTATTTACTGTAGGGCAGTGTTTCTCAACCTTGACAATTTTAAGGCATGTGGACTTCAACTCCCAGAATTCAATGCTGGCTGTGGAATTCTGGGAGTTGAAGTCCACATGCCTTAAAATTGTCAAGGTTGAGAAACACTGCGTGTAGGGCAAGGTGTGGGCATGTTTAGCTGGCAAAAGGTAAAATTAAGAGGCAGTATCATCGTGGTCCGCACGTATCTGAAAGTCTCTTAGGTGCAGAAAAGAGCCGGTGCGTTATCCTCTGGAAGAAGAACAGGATCGAAAGAATGAATTGAGAGTCAAGAGTTGAAATTTGTGTGTGTGTGGTGTGTGGGTCGATCTGGATGAATATTGAGGGGAATCTCCTGACACTAAAAGTTCCCAAGCTGCCTAGAACAGGCTGCCCAGAACAGTGGGGAACTCCCTCTCCCTTAAGGTTTTCAAATAGTAATGATTACATTGCCACCTGCTGTTAGGAATGGACAGTGGACCATCCCTGCATTGAACACTCTTAACCGATATTTAATAATAATAATTAATAATAATAATAATAATAATAATAATAATAATAATAATAATAATAATAATAATAATAATAATAATAAATAAATAAATAATAATAAATAATAATAATAGTAAAGGTGGAAGGGACCTTGAAGGTCATCTAGTCCAACCCCTTCCAATATAGTCCCTTCCAATCATGGAAGCAAATATAAGGGTAGGTAAGCTGCCTTGGGGTCCGAGATCCCTACGGATTCTCCTAGCGCATTTTTAAAAGGAATCAGATGCTTTATTTGCCCTATCTCTACAAATTTTCTGCAAATCTACAGTTCCACGTGCGGAAGTTTCAGTATAGTATTCCCATCTTTTACCTTCTTTTGTCTCTATTAGAAGTCTTTCTTGTAGGATTTAAGTAGCCCTACTTTATCTGTAAATTTACACGTGGTTTCTATGTTCTTCTTAAAAGCAACTCATTTTTCTTTTACTTGTTTTCCTCTAGTTGCTGGTATTCATGATTCCTTTCTTACCTGATGCTGAAAATCTTTGCTCAATCGTCAGGCATCATGCCTAAAACTTTCAGCCTCAGTGTTACCTCTTAAATCATAACGTATTCTAAAAGCATGTTGGGTTCCTCCATTTTTGACATACATTTTATAAATATTTGTCTGCATCACTTTTCACAATGGTGTTGATTTAATGGACATGAAGGATATATGAAAGACAGTACAGGGTTAATGATCAAATAATGTCAAACATTATGGAGAATCTTTTAATATGTCAATTATCCAAGTTTATTCATTTACCACTGCTTATGTGTTAGTGGTAAATGAATAAACTTGGATAATTGACATATTAAAAAATTCTCCATGAAGTTTGACATTATTTGATCATTAACTCAGTACTCTCCACTGATACATAAATAGTAGAGATAGAAGTTTAGGGTTAAGTTTATTTTGAAAGCAATAGAATATACACCCATGTTCAAAAAGGGTGGAGTCTGCTGCAGCATACAGTACTATTTTTGTCATTTTGATTGAAGTGCCACAGATACTTGTCATGATTCAGTTTTACTACTTATGTATTGTATGTGTGTATGTTGTTTGGACGATAATGTGTACTAGATGGATTTCCAGAACTAGTAAATGATCTAAAGTGGGTCTCCAACCCCCGGTCTGTGGACCAGTACTGGACTGCGGCATGCCAGCAACTGGTCCGCACAAACAAGGAAAACCCCATCCATAGGATGTAGCCAACACAGAAAACCAAGCCCCCTTCGGTCCACGGAAAAACCTCTCTCCACATAACCAGTCCCTAGTGCCCAAAAGGTTGGGGACCTCTGATCTAAAGGGATCCTTTTTCCATGGTATAGTGAAAACGCACATTTTTGCAACCAGATTGGTAAGTCACACATTTGTCATGATTTTTGAAATGTGAATATGCAATATGTTTCCAATCTTCATTTAGATTGGATTAATTATGGATAATTATTAAATGGTTAATACAAAAAGAACTTGATAAGACATTCCTGGATTTCATATTCCTATTGCAAGCCACCTATTCACTTTAGATAGCAAGATGAAATTTAATGAATATAAATGTCAGCAGTAAAGTGTCAAATTGTTGTTAATAAAGGTAATATATGGTGCGGTGGTTAAGGCACCAGACTAGAAAGCAAGGGACTGTGAGTTCAAGTTTCGCCTTAGCCATGAAAGTCAGCTGGGTTACCTTGGGCCAGTCACTCTCTCTCTCAACCCAACAGGGTGGTTGTGGGGAAAATAAAAGGTGCTGTGTTGAATATGTTTGCCATCTTGCTTGTAAAAAAATAATAAAAATACAGGATATAAACAATATAAATGTGCATGAATAAACAACCAGCTATCTACCATGTTCATAACTGGGCTTGGGGAAGAAGTAAACAAAAAATATGGAAGAAAATTCTTGATAACACAACATTTTTTATTATTCAATTTTCCTTTCTCTTTTAAATCTATTTGCATAACGATCAGAGGTGATTACACATATTGTTACCTTTGGCACCTTTGAGGGAAGATAGAATATAGAAAGCAAAACATGAAGAAGAAATGTGTGCTGCAAATGAATTTGCAAACACAAGATTGCCACAAGACTTTGAATGATTTTGCCAGGGAGTATTAGAAAGTTATTTGATGGAAGTCCTTTCTATGCTTATACTCCACTTTTTGCACTTTTCTTGGAAAAGTTCAAGATTGCTCTAATGTATTCTTAACTTTCATCAATTAACTTAACCTCAGAATGGATATACTTTTCTCTGATCTTTGACTTTTATTACTATTATTATTACATATATTATTCAGATGTGACAGAATGGATCTAAGAGTAAAGCTAACCATCCATTTCAAAATTATGCAATCCTATATTCTAAAAGCTATACAATGTGTCCCACATGCCTGTCTTATAGGCATTACATTTTTCTGTTTAAGAATATATTATAACTGCAATATCAATTTAGTGTTCCATCATTTTTAATTTATACTTAACTAAAAAAGGATATTATCAAGTATCCAGTCTGCATGTATAGTCACAAACCTCTTTTCCAACCACATAATACTTTAGCCTAGAAATACTTTTTCCAAATATACACATAGCCCTTATAGATGGCCATTCATTTAAAAGTTTTTATATGTCTTTATTGTAACTGAAAACTGTACATAAAAAGAAGATGCAAAGTTACATTTGTCATAACCACTGTAAGAAATAAATTTTTGCCCAACTTAAAAGGGAGTGCAAATATTTTACATTTCATAAAGTGACAAAAATAAACCAAGATGAATAGATTGTGGTTTGTAGAAATGGTACAAAGTCAAACTAGATTTTTATAATATTGCCCAAAAAGAAAATTTCTTTGAAATGAAAAAAATTGTATAGTTTTATTTCTAATCTTTAAAAAAATATAAATGAATTTAGAAGAGAATCACAGTATAGGGCCTAAGTATCTTAAACCATTACAAGGTACATAAAAATAGACACAGATTCCTTGGAAACTTTAATTCTTTGATTAAGCAGCAAGCATTTCACTCCTCCAGGCAAAAACACTGCTTAACACAACCCCCTACTCAAAACAGGACGTGCAAGCTGTATGCACATAATCTGGAAAGCACACAATTTTTTAAAAGGACAACATTTTGCTATGTACATATTCAGTACTACAAATGCTAAACATTTTGTCACTGTATGGCATAGCGTATGTAAAGCAGTATTATACTACATACCATACCATCATACCGAAACACACAAGTGCCCAGTTATAGTTTCAATAGTCTAAAATTGCCATTTAAATGGCAGCACCCAATTTTCTGCATACTGAAGTTCTAGCAACAAGAGACAAGACAAAAGTTAGCAAAAAGAAAAAAGAAAAAAGACAATACAGTCACTGGGAAACCTGATCTACATATTTAAATACTGAAGATGCATTGTTAATAGTTTGGTACTTAGAGAGTTATGCCAAAATGCACAAACAGGACTATGGCAGATTGGAAGAATACAGTGGGTTAATATTGACATCAGAACCAAAGGATAAATATAGCAAAGTACCAAGAATTCTGGCAAGAGATAGTGATGCTTTCCCCCCACCCACTGAAAAGCCAGTATTAAAAACCAAACACTCTCGTTGGATACAGATAATGTACAAGAGACATCCATTGAAGGAATTTCTATTTAATATACTACAAAGGAAATCTGATTTAAATAAGAATTTTAAAAAATCAAGAACATGAAAGTTAATGGGCAAATCCCTTTAACGCCTTAATCATGATAAGGTGTTAGTCTAAAAGTTTGAGCTGTAAAATGCAGTACATAAGAGACTAGTACAGCTTTGCTATACATGAAATCATCCAGAATTTTAACTCTGAAAGTTAAAACACTGTTGTTTTAGTAAGAAGTGGGGAAGTCAACTATATTAAAGAGATGCACATCTTTCAGAAAATAGGTTTTCATTGCTTGGTATTTCTTGCCCAAAATTAAAAGCCTGTCACTTTGATTATAACAGTTAAACTCCAACTGATTAAGTAAGGCATGAGTTGGTATCGTTTTTGATACCAAAAAATAATAAAATGAGGGGACATGCACTGGCAAGGAATAGCAAAAAGAGACTGAGATATTTCAAGAAATGAAGGAGGAAACATCCTTAATATTAGACTGTTTCACCATGCCCCTATACCAGGGGTACGCAACCTTGGCTCTTTTATGATTTGTGGACTTCGCAACTCCCAGAATTCCTGAGCCACCATGGCTCAGCTTGGAAACCTCTCCCTTTCCCCTCAGCATGGCTGGCTCAGGAATTCTGGGAGTTGAAGTCCACGAGTCATAAAAGAGCCAAGGTTGCCTACCCCTGCCCTATACGTATGGAATTCAGCATTCCTCGCCAAATTATTTCAGAACTTAATAGAATAAAATTTCAGGTAAGAAGTAGTATTACAAAGTTTATTAAAAAGAAGACAACTGTGACTTTATTAGCCACCTGGCTACCAGTGTTGGATGGTAGCTTGCTGTCTATCACAGAGTCTGCACTAGTAAGTCATGTTTCCAGTATTAGAGGACCACATATATAGTTGAACCTCTTTAGTACCTTAGCTTTGCACTCTTCAAAACTTTTCCAACAAGTAGACTGAAGAAAAGTACTTTATGAAGAAATATAGAAAATACAAGCCTAGAAAAATGTATGAAGTGGTGGTATCTGTCAAAATCTGAATGGCAGGCTTGTCAGTAATACTTGCGCTCCTAACATAGGAAAATGTAAAAATAATTTCCCCAGTTTATCACATTTACAGCCCTCTTTGAATCTTAAATTGAAACGCTTTCACTATCCAGATGGTTTATTTCCATGAAGTTGAATATAAAGGATTTTATAAAATAAATAGAGTAAAAACAAGTTGAAGTCACAGTGCAGTGAATTTTCTTTTCTTTTTTAAAAAGAAGTTAGCTTTGTAAAATGCTGACTTTGTAGACATGGTTTTCTTTGCAATAATCTACTGCACTGAAGTTTCTCTCGCTCAGAAGATCATTCACATATTATATATCCATTTCCACCTTCTTCTTTGTGACAGTTCAATACTGTGGAAAGCTTCCTTTCCCTCCCTTCACCTCTTCATTAGCTGAGGAAAGTAGACACTGATACTACTTTAATTATCATAGTTCTGCCCTATTTGTTTAATGTAGCGGTGACTGTGATTCTGTCTGGATTCCAATAAGTGAAGGTGGCTGTGGCCCACCAGTGGAGGACAGTGCTGGTCTTGGGTTTAGACGAGGAGGCATGGAATTAGCTGGACGGATGAGTGGTGGAGGGGGCTGGTTTAGGGTTGGCCTTGGTTGAATAAATCGAGCTTGTTGCTGTAGTGGTGGAGGCTGACGATGGAGAGCTGGAGCAGCTGGAAGGGTTGGACGAAGCAATGGAGGAGGCTGGTTCAAAGTTGTTACAGGGGTTGCTGGTGTTGGAGTAGACGCCTGGGCTGGTGGAGAAGACCCTACACATTGAGGTGTCTGAGGGATCTGGGCCTGTAAATAAAGTGATAAAATATGTAAAAGCAGCCATTCTTCATCATGCAGTTTGGGTATCCGCTACCTCCAGAAACAGGAAAGCACTATTAGTGTAGCCAGATTTGTAGTTAAGAAACCTCTTTTTAAAAAACAACCATTTATAAATTATTTAGCAATATAAGGAAATAAAATATTCAATATATAAAAAAAGAAAATCTAATAATATTCAGGATTATTCAGCTATGTTTTCCATATTAGTAGTGTGGGAAGAACCAGAGGTAGCCCAGATTGGAAGTGTTTGGCTAACACAATCACAATGAGGAAAGAGCTCTACAAATAAGGAGGCAATAAGCTTCCAACACTGGTGCATTTCTCTTCAAGTTAAATATTACATTTTGTGATGGGAAATGTAATGCCATTTCTGAACTTATGCTTATTTATTATTTGATACACAGAAACACACCTCATCTTCTTCATCTGTACTTTTTCCTGATGACACATTAGCATTTTTTGTGTCCTCTCCTAAAGCAGAAGCATCACCATTAGAAGCCAGGGTTCCTTGCTCTGCTTCCCATTCCTGCAATACCTCCTCTAGGTTAAAACGACGCCTGTAGTTTACAAAGAAGTTCTTCACTTGGCCAACAGTCTTATTGCCAATTACATCAGCAATAGCTTGAAAATCTTTACCATATTTGCGGACACCTAAAAAAGACAAAATAAGTAAATAAGATTCAAGTTAATAAGCAGAAATCTGCATGATATGTATGCCCTCTACAGGTGACAGGAAACCCCAATTTTAAAAGCAGAAGTGCTTCTATAAGGATTGATCACGGGAAAACATGGTAATATTGTTAGCAGTTGGTATACTTTACTGATCAAATTGTAATATTGTGAATATCACTAGTTCTAAAAGTACCGCAGTTCATTCACAATATCATTTATTTGACTCAAAGCTTTTTAGTTAAGCAAATCATAAGCATAACAACTGTTTATTAGTTAAAACGGCCTCGATTAAAAAGTTACCGATGCCTACCAGTTTAGAAATGATTACAAGTCCATTTCTAAAGCTCTGGTACTCCACTAATCCACTGGCAGTCTTGATATGGAGATGATTCCAGACTGAAATGTTACTCCATTGAATGAAGTAACATACTGAAATAGAGACTCAGAATGTCCATGAAATAAGTTCACTGACCAATACTATTCTATCAGTTCAAAGGATTGTATTACTAAGTAAATGAATATAGAATTTCAGTCCAAGAAAAATAATTTAACCAATGTGTATATGCAGAATTGGGACAGTATCTTCAATATTCCAGATAAAGAGAATTCTGTATTCTCAAAATATGATTAAAGCTTTCAGTGACAAATTTTTAACAGAATCCTCTCTAGCAAGATTCTTTCTCAAAACAATGCCTACATCTGAACTTTTCCAGCTTTTCCACTGGGAATGTCATCCCGTCTTTTTGCACTTGGCCACCTCTTTTTAAAAATGGGGGTACTCACAAATTGTGATGGCTGAGCCCCTCTGAATCTATGCTCGCTATTTAATCTTTCAACTTGTTTCATTTTATTTACATTTTTTAAATAAACTGTAATGCCTGAAATATTTTAAAGCATTTATATTAATAAGGCAGCGTACAAAAAATTCCTTACTTCTGTTTTAAACTAGTCACATTATCCATGTTTTCTGACTTTAAAATGACGAAATGATCTCACAGTGCAAACTCCATGTTTACTTATTAGCCTTCCAAAATTTGAATGCAAATATCTGTTACGGTATTTGTATCATGATATGTATTTTCTCACTTGCTACTCTTTCCTGCCCCAACAGACACAAGTACATATGGCTACATTTTTTAAAAAAAAAATTGTTTTCACAGTATCAAGAATTACAACCTGAAAGAAAATATTAGTAACACTAGTGTACCTTGAACTGCAAGAAGTTGTTCTTCTGTTGTCCAACGGGCATTTATTTTTTGATTTGACTATTAAGAAATAAAGAATGATAGCACACAGCAAACTATTAAATATCTGAAAACAACAGTGAAAATTTCAGCCACAACACCACCTTTCAATTCAATTACCTAGATTTACATTTGCCAATTTTAGTAGCTCAGGATGTTTCCCCAGAACTCCATGAACTGAATTAGGAATACAAAAATATATTTTAAAACATTAGATTCTTGGTCTATGTCTATGGTAGGCAAACTGATGCTTTCTAGATATTCTGAATCACAACTCCCACAAGCCCTTGCTACTGGGCATGCTAGTTAAAGTAGTAACAGCTGACATCCAAAACATTGTCTAAAGCAGGGTCTCCCAAACTTTTCTATACCTTTTCTATATTCTCACACCCCTTACAAAAGTTCAAAATAACGGCAACGAATTATGCATATACACTATACTTTTGAAAACCCAAGTTTTCGCACCCCCTGGAATATTGTCTTGCACCCCTGGTTGGGAATCCCTGGTCTAAAGCTAGCATTGATTCTCCAAAGTTTAAACAAGAATTTTTTGAAACCTTACATGAAAATGATAGGGACATTTGGTAGTTGGAATCCTCTGCCTGCAATGCATTGCTTTGCTACTGAGCTATAGCCCTTCCTGTAAGAAAATGCGGCCTCCATTCTTTTTTACAGCAACACATCTGATAGGCCTAATCCACTCGAGTTGAAGCAAATGAGACAATCACTCATACAGACTGGCAAGTACATTGAAAATCTCAGCTGGATTTTTGTGTGCCAACTAATGACTACAATCTAGAGTGAAAGTACAATTGGAACAATCCTTTCAGAAAGTAATTAAAAGTTAAGTTCTGTTTAAATCTTCGTTTTATGAGTATTAAATTTGCTTTTGAACTTGCACTGAATGAACGGTTGTCACTCAATAAAATATATGAAAATGTTTTAAATACATTTTTAAAATGCTTTAAAACCTATATAGGGTTCGTATCAACTTTTTTCATCAAAGCAAATTGTCACAAATGAAAATACTTTCGGAATAGTCTTCAGTTCCTAGCAAAATAACAATACTGAAAATTCACCTACATTTCACAGTGACTCACCTCAGGAGGTTTGAATTCATCTATTCCACCTTCAATTTTCTGCTTAAGTGCACTGTTTACTTGTTTAGCATTCTGGACCTTGTCCAATGAACAAAATAGGAATGAAAATTAGCTGCTACAAAATAGTGTAAATATCAACTGCTAAGTGATTAATTGAAAATTAAACCAAAGGCCCTAAACAAAAATAAAATTAAATAAAATAAAATTTTGAAGAGATGAAGCTTGTCTCAAGGAGCAAAACAATTTGCCTGTTTCCATGCACAAAGAATAAACTGGGTTAGTAAAATGAGCGTGATTATCTAAATATTAGTATTGTTTGTTTTAATGTGGATGTAGGATTGTATTTTCTTTCGGTGCACCACCTAGAATCTATATTAATTGAGGTGGCATATAGAAACTATGAAATAAACAGCAAGAAATAAAATGGTGGCTTCCAGCAAGATCTTGAATTCCTGACGTAAAATCTGAGACTAATATTGTTATCTGCTTATACCAAGTTAAGAATCAGGGTTATTTGCTTCAAGCATTGGAGAGCTTCATTAAGTCCTTGTGATTAAGCATCATGGAATAGAATCACCACTTATTTTCTCTTCTTTTTCCATGTTCTATCATCCCTATGCTATTTTGTATTTATGTAAATTCATAACTCCTTTTAAACATTTATCTTGCTGAAAATTGGAAAGCATTAGAAAGAGTGCACTTTTATTTATTATTTTTCTAGACCATTTTTTCCATCCAGTTGAAAGGGACTGAGTCTACTAGAAATCAAAACGCTACATGGTTCCAAACTGCAGCATGACACTCTTGGATACCACAGTAAACTCACAGGGATTCTGTGGAATAACAAAGTGATACTTGACATCTGTTGGACACTGTGTATACTACAAGACTAGGAGTGCTGTGAAAAAATTACTAAAACACTAAAGGTGCCATGAATCAAGAAAGTTTGGGAACCTTTACCAAATACATTTATTTATTTATATCCTGTCTATATTGTTTTTACAAATAACTCAAGTCCAACATACTTTCTTCCTCCTATTTCTCTACAATGGGAAGAGAGAGAAAGACTGGCCCAAGACACACAGTTGACTTTAAGGGCTCAGCTGGGACTAGAACCCAAAACCTTCTTGTTTCTAGCGTGGTGCCTTAACTCCTAGACCAAACTATCTACAAAGGTTCAATACAGGATTAAGATACTAATAAAACCACACTTTAAAACTGAAACAATGAATTTACTTTTATTGAAGTCAATAAGTTTAGATAAGAGTCGTGGTGGCACAGTGGTTAGAATGCAGTATTGCAAGTTAACTCTGCCCAATGTTAGGCGTTTGACCCTAACGAGCTCAAGGCTAACTCAGCCTTCCAACCTTCCGAGGTCGGTAAAATGAGCCAGATTGTTGGGGGCAATATAGACCGCTTAGAGAGTGCTGTAAAGCAGGGGTCCCCAACCCCCGGTCTGTGGACCGGCACCAGTCCGCAGCATGCCAGCAAGTGGGCCGCACAAACAAGCAAAGCTCCATACTCAGAATGCAAACAGTATTCAAAACCACACCCCCTCTGGTCTGCGGAAAAACCTTTCTCCATGGCACCGGTCACTGGTGCCCAAAAGGTTGAAGACCTCTGCTGTAAAGCACTATGAAGCAATATGTTAGTCTACGTGCTATTGCTATCTATGTAGACTTGAGAGAACCAACAGTTATGCAGAAGTCTCAACTCATGAACCTATTTTAATAACCAGAAACTCACACACTAAATTTATTTTTAATCTACCATTTCACTTTAACAGGCATGTTTCAGATTTCTTTGTTTATTAGAACCTAAAATATAAAAACATACCCCCCCAAGTAAACCTGGTAGTTAAAATACCTGTCGCTTCAGTGAGATCAGCTCCATATCCAGCTGCCTAAGAAGTGTATTGGCGGCATTGGGGCTACATGAAACCGCTACCACGTCTTCTTGAGTTAAATACATGCCTTTTGGAGGACGGCATTTAGAGCGCTGAGAATGATGACGATGTTGCAAACTTTGATATTCTCTTCTACCTAATCCTATTTTGCTGGACTGCACAGGCTGCTCATGATTCCCCTGTAATGTTTGAATTTTTTTAAAAAAAATTAAGCACGATACCTTGCTTTAAAAACAAATTATCACATTAATTGTATCACATTATTATTCAAACTTTCTAAAATCTTTCTTAACACATAGTTCTCATATCACATATGATCAGACAAGACAATAAAATCAACTGTATAGATTTTCCTTGGCAAAAACAGGCCACATGGCTAACATGTGATTGGATAAGTTGGGAGTTCTCAAACTTTATGTTGCCATGACCCTCTAAAAGGATAACTAATTTGTGAGATTTCTGTATGAATAACTGTATTCACATTACAAGGAAGTATAAGTATTAATCAAATTACATTTTCTACCTATCAGTGCAAGCATCAATATATATTTATATGATACAGATATCCATGTTCTAAATAAACAAATTCCAATGTATTTTCAGGAAAAGAAATTAATTACGTTAAATCTTTGACAGACTCAGCAACCTCATAAAACTTAAATTCTGCTCATAAATGCAGGGAGAGGACAAAGATCGCTACTAAATATCCCTATCACTGATTACAGCCTCTGAAGACCAAAATATAATAATAAAAATAGAACCTAAGTTAGGTGACTAACTTCAGTTTGTATTACCTCTTTTTTATTTTCCTTTTTGGGATCATAATCACTATCATTTCCATCCATAGGGTGAGGTTCTTCAACATCATCATCACTGAGGATTGAAAATGATTAGTCAATATTTATTTTCACTACTCAATTTCTGCCCTAAGGGCTCAAATAGACTTTGTGTTTATTGTATTCTACATCATAAAATTTCACTTTAGTTTTAAATATTACCAGGGGAGTCATTTTTAAATACACAACTACAAATTATTAAAACTTCATGTCTTTATTATATGAATATCAGATTTAAAAGAATTTTAAGCAATATATCCATACTGAATAGAATAGAATAGAAGCTAGAAGGGACCTTGGAGGTCTTCTAGTCCAGCCCCCTATTCAATTAGGAGAACCTATACCATCTCAGACAAGTGACTGTCTAGCCTCTTTTTAAAAATCTCCAGTGATGGAGCGCCCACGATTTCTGGGGGTAAGCTATTCCACTGGTTAATTGTTCTCACTGTCAGGAAGATTCTCCTTAATTCCAGATTGCTTCTCTCTTTGATCGGTTTCCAACCATTGTTTCTGGTCCTGCACTCTAGTGCATTGGAGAATAACTTGACCCCCTCTTCTTTGTGGCAGCCCCTCAAATACTGGAATACTGCTATCATGTCTCCCCTATTTCTTCTTTTCTTTAGACTAGCCAAACCCATTAAACAAATTTAAACATTTCCTCTTTATTTCAAGCATCTCAGGCCAATGTGCAAGACTGTTAAAAACCCCTACTCATTTTACAAGAAATCTACAATTAAGCATACCTTCTCTAAGACTATAGTATAAAACGTAATAGAGACCATGCAATCATCTAATACCTGCTTTGGAGTGGCTAAGAGATTATTGAAATACTTGGTTCATAATACAATGTCATGTGCTCTGCTCCAACCAGAGATAGTAAGATGGGTAGGAAAAAACATTCACTTCTGCCTTGTCAAAACTAGCAAAAAGGTTAAGGGAAAAATCAGTATCTGTACTAGTAGTATTCCCCAAACTATGGATATGTTATCTGTTCAGAAATCTGAATCAATTACAAATGAAGTCTAGTGTGAAACAGAAATGTTGACTACTGTTCACTACAGTCACAATAAACTGCTGTGGTCTTGTATGTATGCATTGGAAAGAATATGAGAATTGCTTTTATGTTTTTTTTTAAATGATATTCCTTTATCAATTATCGAAACAAATCCATGTAATTATAGAAACAGGCTCTGTAAATAAATCTTAAAGAACTCCTCTCTACCTTGCAAGGTATTTAGAAATGTCTAAATATTATTCAAATTTGAGGGGAAGGCTACTTTAAGAAGTGTCTGTTCAGCTATTTCTAACAATAGAACTATATATGTGAGACCACAAGGTTGAACATGCTGCATACGGCATTTTATTTTCATTGGTTATAACAACACAAAAATATCTGTGGCTATGATTTTAACAAATTCTATGCTCTGATGTAAAGAAGTGGGATTTCCATCTGCTTAACAAAAACAGGTACAGAGAAATAGAACAGTTTTCTCCAACTGGGTGTCCTCCAGAAATGTTGGGAACTTTCAGAATTTCAATGTTTGCGGTCCTGGGAACTAATACTTTCAACAAACTAGAAAGCACGGAAATGGGCAAAACTGGCATAGAACCTATTCTCTTAAACTAGAAACAGTCAAAGGAAGACAAAAACAAACAGAACAACTACTCTCTCTAAACAGGTTACTTGTTTAAAACAGATATTGCATTGCTTACCTATCACCTTGATTATTTCTATTAGCTAGTTTTCTAGCTTGGCGGTCCATTAAACTTGTTCTAGAACGTGTTTTCTTCCAGGAATAGTAATATTTTACAAGGCTTGCAATAGTCTTGTCTGGAAGCTGAAACATGGTAAGAGTATGCAGACTCTAGTTATAAATGGTATGGAAAAATTGGCACATAGTTTTGTATGTATGAAAAAAATCATAAAGTGTAATTTTGTAAACAAAATACATATTATTGAAGATTAATAGTAAAACAAGAACATTCCTTAGTGCGAATAAAACATAAAAAATAAAGTACACATTTAAAGCCCATTTGCTACAATTTTGTTTCCTTATATACACATTTACTGAGAAAAACAAGGTGGGCAGGTATGCAAGAGTTAGATTCCATAAATTGTTAAGTATAGTTTCATAATGATAAGACAAAATATTACAAGCATCTATTAAAACAAAAAATGATTGATGAAATTATATAACTGAGTTTGTCTGTATTATACCATTTTTTATCTTGAAGTTCTTTAGCTTTTGACATAGCTTGTCTCCAAGATTTTAAGTGCTTTTTTGTTTTATCTCACAGGCTTTATACAACTTCAAATATTAAAGCATTATATTTATATGAATCCCTTGTTATATTTATTTATGCATTTATGTATATTATTATTATTATTAATAATAATAATAATAATAATATAATAATAATAATAACAACAATAACAAAACAATAACAATAACAATAACAACAACAACAACAACAACAACAACAACAACAATAATAATAATAATAATAATAATAATAATTGGAAGGGAACTTGGAGGTCATCTAGTTCAATCCCCTGCTCAGGCAGGAAACCCTATAACCTTTTCAGACAAATGGCTGTCCAGTCTTTTAAAAACTTCATTCACAACTTCTGGGGGTAGGTTGTTCCACTGATTAATTGTTCTAACTGTCAGGAAATTTCTCCTTAGTTCTAGCTTGCTTCTCTCTTTGATTAGTTTCCATCAGTTGCTTCTTGTCCTGCCTTCAGGTGCTTTGGAGAATAGCTTGACTCCCTCTTCTTTGTGGCAACTCCTGAATTATTGGAACACTGCTATCAGGTCACCCCTCGTCCTTCTCTTCATTAAACTAGACATACCCAATTCCAGCAACCGATCCTTATATGTTTTAGCCTCCAGTCCCCTAATCATCTTTACTGCTCTTCTCTGTACTCTTTCTAGAGTCTCAACATCTTTTTTACATCGTGGTGACCCAAAGTGGATGCAGTATTCCAAGTGTGGCCTTACCAAGGCACTGTAAAATGGTATTAACACTTCACATGATCTTGATTCTATCCCTCTGTTAATGCAACCTAGCACTGTGTTGGCATTTTTGGCAGCTGCAGCACACTGCTGTCTCATATTTAAGTGATTGTCCACTACGACTCCGAGATCCCTCTCACAGTTACTACTATTGAGGAAGGTATCCCCTATACTATACCTGTACATTTGGTTTTTCTTGCCTAAATGTAGAACCTTTTTTCACCATTGAGCTTCATTTTGTTAGATAGCGCCCAATGTTCAAGTCTGAACATGTATTAAATTTAAATTCACTCACACATTATAGAAATATAAAATCTGGGCCACATGTGGAATTTGGCAGTAGATGTTTAATTTTATGTTTAAAAAAGGAATGACCAAAGACAATGTTCTGTAATGTGCTCAGTGATACATGTAAGTCTAAGGCTTTGAAAGGGACTAACAATACTGGACAAGTGATTATATAGAAATTATATCTATGGCAACGTATGCCAAGCCGAGCAAATATTCACATGGCGACTTTCATTTTTCTAGAATATCTCTGTATCTGTACTCATATGGGAAATAAAGCATTCAGGAGAAATAAATGTGACAGATAGCTAATATTAATCTATACATTTTTTACCATATCCTTTTGACCCTGGGATAATGTGAGCAAGGTGCATTAACTTGAGGAGGTTTCTCTTTCCAAAATCAAAGAACCAGACAGGCAATGCTTGCTGAATTGCAGAGAGATATTCTAATAAACTTCTTGGACCATACACCACTGAGGAAGGCAACTGAGAACACTTTTAAGTCGGATAGAATTATGGAAGCTAGTTCTTCCTTAAAGGAAATATTAATTAAATAACTCTTCCAATTGAATGATATCTGCGAATTGTTCTTGTTTAATAATGGAACAATAAAAAGTCAATTAGAATATTTAGGGAAAAAGATAAAAAGTTAAGAAAAATATTGATTTTTTTTCTAGTTTAAACACATTCTTTACTGTTTTATAACTGTTATATGGAAATCCCAACACCCCGCACAGAGTAGTTTTTCTAAACTTTAGCAACTTTAAGATATGTGGACTTCAAATTCCAAACTTTCCCAGTCACCATTCTGGCTGGGAATTGAAGTCTACATACCTTAAAAGTTGCCAAGGTTGAGAAACACTGCCATCAAGAGTCCTCTTTTGATGGAAAATAGGATATTTATGTCTATTATTTCTTAATCTTAGAAAGTGGAATTTACCTTAATCATTAATTCAGATGAAATAGCACTAGCCTTATAAATCTATTACTAATTATTAACAAGTATTTTCCCTTTACTTCTAATTTTTATTTTTTAAAGCTAAAGTTGTCTCAAGTTCTAGCTTCTGTTAAGGGATGGAACTTGGAAGACAGATTTATATTACTGTTAAATACATTTTCACAACTGAAGAAAAGAAATTTGGAATGAATAAATGTAGATTTTACCTTTTAAAATGAAAAAGAATAAATAACACACCAAAATGTATTCCACGAATTAGTTAAGTACTATATATGGTCAGTTTTAATTTGCACCAAAAGCACAATTTAGCCAGTAACAATCATTGGAAATATTATAAATCAATATAATCTCTGTCTCCCTTTCTCTGTGTGTGTATATGTATCTGTCTCTATATGCCCACACATATGCCTGCTTTTAAGAAGAGACTGTGTAAGTGCACCTGCATCACTTGGATTTTGCAGCTTTATGCAATGATCCTGCTTCCTTTCCCCAGAACAAAGACAAGTATTTTGAGTGTGTGAATTTTCCTAATGAGAGCTTATTTCCTATTTCACTTCACCTTTCTTTGCTTCTGATGCTCTTATACTCATCAACAGGAAATATGGTTTTGTACCTTTTCATCCATTTTGTAATTTTTTAAATTTCTTTTAATGTTTGTAGATCTTTTTTATTAATTTCCATATTCTATAAATTTATGTCATTTATTCTGGATAATGCTGAACTCCTATCTGGAGAATCTTAAAATGTGAGGGAACTGTTTTTCTATAACATCATTATTGTATTATTTCAATGAATTTGAATTTTTCCTTTCGGAGTAGTTTCTGTATATGCCCATTAGATCATAATAAAACAGATTAATTTTTTATCTGGGAAAGAAAAAATGTGCTTCTTAGCATGCCATACTGTAGTTTGCCTTAGCCACTGTCTTCAATCCTATACCACTTACTCTCTTGACCCTTGTGAAATACTCTGAAGGGTGGGGGTATCAGCAGTTTATTTCCTTACCATTTGTTGAATTCTGTGAAAGCTTTTTCCATGGAAACTGAAAGCTTGTTCAAAAAGGACTTTATCTTCAACTGTCCACTCATCTGGAAAAGGCGTAAAATTTGGGAGATCTGCAAGGGATTTCTCAATGTTGTGCTTATGCCAGAACAACATTCCAAGTGCCTTTAAAAAAGAACCAAGCAGGTATAAGTTTCATGGTGTGCCATATTGACCTTTTACTTTCTTATGTTATCTTAATGATGTGCAAGATTACATCTGGGTGTGTCAGAAGACACATTTTACCCACCTAGCTGCCCTTATGTTTTTGACTTTCTCCAATACAAGCTATATATTCTGATGTTAAAAAAAAAGGAAATGCACAGCTTCACATTGTACAGTATATTGTTGCAAACAACGTTGCCACCATTTAATCCCTTGCTTCTGCTTATATTCTACATAACCAAGTTCAAAGTGTTTACTTTAAAAAAGGGAATTTTGCCCTTTCTAAATTATTGAATTATTCTCACAAAGAAGTTTCAAGTAGATTTTTTGAAGAGTATCTGTTGTGCTATAGAACTTAAATAATATTTACACTGAAATAACTACACTTGTTTAAATAAATAAAACTGTAATTTGGGATTAAAATATTCAGCTCCATCATCTTTGACAATGCTGACTAGATCTAATGGAAGTTGACATTTTAATTGGCCACAGGCTTCATTCATTCTCTAAACAAGCTGACATTAAGGTAATTTGAAGATCTTCCCTTTTCATATTCAAATCATATCTGAAGTTTAACACTACGTTCCACTCATTTTGGAAGTTAGGTTAGTTGATATAAGAAGTGAGACTTTTACCAATGACCCTTTTATTATAGAACTCTTCCCTGGGGATACTTGAATGCCCCTTTTCCCCCTTTACTTTCAGAAACAGATTAAAATTTTCCTTTAGAAGAAGCAGAAGATGGAACGTTACTTCTCTGTTTTCTCTTTCCTCTCTGTTTTCTAAAACAATAGACACTATTTTATGATTATATAGTTTTACTTATCAAACAAAGCCTTGCAAAGAAAAATGCTAACTTGTCTTGTATTACTGGTAATTAATCTTTTAAAACTCTTACCTGTTCCACATTGTATCCATGCTTTTCCTTTGCTATAGCAATATATTCATCCACTGTAACAGAAGGATGCTAGAATTATTTTCTAATATATTTACAACCCCCCCCCCCCCCATTTTAGGATCATAGATCCCCATTACATATTATTCCTTTCTGGTTTATTTAAATATTACTGAAATAATATATGTGCTACTTATGTTAATTATAGTTTTATTTATCTTTATATCCTGCTTCAATTCTACGCATCTCTAAAAAAATGCATATACTGAAAAGATTCTATAGGAAGGGGAAAAGCTGTTCATCAAAACTGCAATTCTGCAGTGTTATTCAAGGGCAGTAAGAAATCCAACAATAAGCACAGAAAGGCTCATCTTGAAGTAATTCTATGGAAAGTCAAAAATCCAACTCACTACTACACCAGAGCTTTCAAACACCTTTTCATTAGCTATATAAGTACTTTGAGTTTTCTTCCTTCTAGCTTTTTTCTGCTTCAGTGAAATAATATTACACTCAAATATGAGTGCAATACAAGGAGATCCAATGCAGTGTTTCCTTTTTTGCACCTAAAGGCTGTTGATCTTTATTGAAGAACAGCTTAGATCTCTGTATGGTTAAATAAGGTAGTAGGGAAAGAGAAGAATCAGATGAAGAGAATTAAAAGTATAAAACTAATGTGGAGAGATAAATGTGACATTCTTAGAAAGTCTGATAGAAAACAGGGAGCAAAAATATTTCATTTAGAAGGACACAGACTTTATTTACAAATGAATATGAAGGTGAAGACTTTATTTAAACCCTGAAATATGCAACATGAAAATGTGATGTATTTGTTAACTTGATGCCATTTCTCTAATACTGTAACAATTAATTTTCTGAATTGTGATGCAGATATTTAAACTTATTAAATATCAACAATCTACAGTGAGGGAAAAATTATTTGATCCCCTGCTGATTTTGTACATTTGCTCACTGACAAAGAAATTATTAGTCTATAATTTTAATGGTAGCTTTATTTTAACAGTGAGAGACAGAATAACAAAAAAAAAATATCCAGAAAAACGCATTTCAAAAAAGTTATAAATTGATTTGCATTTTAATGAGTAAAATAAGTATTTAATCTCCTATCAATCAGCAAGATTTCTGGCTCTCAGGTGTCTTTTATACAGGTAACAGGCTGATATTAGGAGCACTCTCTTAAAGGGAGTGCTCCTAATCTCAGTTTGTTACCTGTATAAAAGACACCTGTCCACAGAAGCAATCAATCAATCCATCAGATTCCAAACTCTCCACCATGGCCAAAACCAAAGAGCTGTTCAAGGATGTCAGGGACAAGACTGTAGACCTACAGAAGGCCGGAATGGGCTACAAGACTATTGCCAAGCAGTTTGGTGCGAAGGTGACAACAGTTGGTGCGATTATTCGCAAATGGAAGAAACACAAAATAACTGTCAATCTCCCTTGGTCTGGAGCTCCGTGCAAGATCTCACCTCATGGAGTTTGAAAGATCATGAGAATGGTGAGGAATCAGCCCAGAACTACATGGGAGGATCTTGTCAATGATCTCAAGGCAGCTGGGACCATAGTCACCAAGAAAACAATTGGTAACACACTATGCCGGGAAGGACTGAAATTCTGCAGCACCAGAAAGGTCCCCCTGCTCAAGAAAGCACATGGTCAGATGAGACCAAAATCAAGCTCTTTGGCATCAACTCAACTCACTGTGTTTGGAGGAGGAGGAATGCTGCCTATGACCCCAAGAACATCATCCCCACCGTCAAACATGGAGGTGGAAACATTGTTTGGGGGGTGTTTTTCTGCTAAGGGGGATGGACGGGGCCATGTACCGTCAAATCTTGGGTAAGAACCTCTTTCCCTCATCAAGGGCATTGAAAATGGGTCGTGGATGGGTATTCTAGCATGGCAATGACCCAAATCACATAGCCAAGGCAACAAAGGAGTGGCTCAAGAAGAAGCACATTAAGGTCCTGAAGTGGCCCAGCCAATCTCCAGACCTTAATCCCACAAAAAATCTGTGAAGGGAGCTGAAGGTTCGAGCTGCCAAACGTCAGCCTCGAAACCTTAATGACTTGGAGAGAATCTGCAAAGAGGAGTGGGACAAAATCCCTCCTGAGATGTGTGCAAACCTGGTGGCCAACTACAAGAAACATCTGACCTCTGTGATTGCCAACAAAGGTTTTGCCACCAAATATTAAGTCATGTTTTGCGAAGGGGTCAAATACTTATTTCACTCATTAAAATGCAAATCAATTTATAGCTTTTTTGAAATGCGTTTTTCTGGAATTTTTTTGTTGTTATTCTGTCTCTCACTATTAAAATAAATGTACCATTAAAATGATAGACTGATCATTTCTTTGTCAGTGGGCAAACGTACAAAATCAGCAGGGGATCAAATAATTTTTTCCCTCACTGTAGGACAAAACTGAAATGTGTTTCAACTGTCATTTTCCCCATTTTTTTTTAATATTTTGCTCTTAAAAATCTAACTCTTAAAAGAATTAAATCCTACAGTCATACAATTAGAAATCTTTCCTTTTTTGGTAGCTGGAAAATATACCAACATGGGTTCATGAATCTATAAATTCTTTTGAAGCAAGGGACTATTGAACAGGGATTCATGAATCCATAAGCCAATCATGCAATATATAGAATTGGCTATTCATAGTAGCATGCAAGGACACCATACTAGATATATGAGCCTCTGACCAAAAAAATATTCTTCAGTTACCATGGCAGAGACAACTGCATAAAAATTCTAAATATCTAGATCATAACAATATGTATACATATATTCATGTTGGATTAATACATTTATTTATTCTGGAAGCTAATATAGGCTGTATCCTTCCAGAGAACCCCTGGGAACTGACTGTCACCTGGAATCAGATTTATTTGGTAATTATCTATTAGGATGTGTTATTTACTTCAGTTTATTTTGATAGTGATTTTACTTAATTTTGTTCTAAGCCATTATTAGTTGATTATAATTCAGCAGCATACACTTCAATCAATCAATCAATCAATCAATCAATCAAATCAATCAATCAATCAATCAATGAATGCCTCATCTAAAACTTCAGATTCAGAAGCATCAGAATACCAAGCAGGTATATAATTGGTCAGCTGTTGCAGGATGTTTCAGCCCACAGTACGCTAATGCAGATTTTATTGCTTGTCATTATGCCTGATTTTATGTCACGTTTGTCAATTTAAAAAATGTATTTATATGAAATGCAAGGATATATTTTCAATATTTTATTAGATTGGATAATTTTTACTAGGTAGGCCAATTATATCCTGAAAATTTAACTTATTCATTGCACTGAGGTCAAAACACAAAACTGTAATAGCATTCAAGATGTACCTTTTAAAAAGCATTTTAACATTTTAAAGCAGTACATGCATCAGAGATGCTCTGCACATTATAAAATTCCAAGTAGCATTTTCAAATAGAAATCAATACAATATCCACAGACAGGTAATAACTGATTATTGACTGATCAGATATATATCACCTGCACATCAGTTTCACATTAATTTGTGCAATGAAATGTTTTATATGTTGCGATTTATAATCTGTGATGTAATCCTTATACATATTAATTCCCAGGATTCTATTTAATGCAGTTTATCAAACTTACATTTGGCATCAGAAATATTATGATAAGGAGACCACACAAGCATCCCTCCATTGTCTTTATCTGTGTATTTTGTAGCTCCTGAAAGAAAGTTAATATCTTCAGTACTTCAAGGAATACCTAATCCAGATACAAATATTAAAACATATTAAGTCAAAGAAAGCATAGCCTGATCAATGTTTTATTGTTAATATGCAATTAGACAAAACTATTTTGTATTTTTCACCTTGTAAGTAATGAAACACAGAAAAAATGGAAAACTTTTTCAAGTAGCATAGGCTAGAATTCATTTCAATGAGAACTTTGCTTTCAAAAGTCACCAACTCTGGTACATCTAAAATAATTTCATGTGTTAAGCATCTAGAACAGGGGTGTCAAAATGCTGGCCCGCGGGCTGGACGCGGGCTGCCCACCCCATTGTTGGCAATGGCAAAACTGTCCCGATACGTTGCGCGACGTCATGTGACGTCGCGAGTTTGACATGTCTGATCTAGAATAATACATTTAGTTCTTATCCCTATTATGAAAAAGTTATCTTAAGGCAGGGGTGTCAAACTGCCGGCCCGCGGGTCAGTTTCATCATACTGGAGCCGCGCCCACCCCATTGCCGGCAACGGCAAAAAAGCTCCGATACGCTGCGCCACGTCACGAGTTTGACATGTCTGTCTTAAGGTAAAGTTCTTAACACCATGTAAGGGAAGACATAGTTAATGCGCATAAAAGATAGCTGTTATTATATATCTTTGCAAAATAATTAACAAGAGTGGTAACAGAAAAAATTAAATCTGAAATACAAACTGAACATCTTACTTATTTTCCTATGAGGTTGTGGAATATAATGCATTCTTTATGTTATATTGCTTCTCAAACCACTGTCGTAGCAAGTAGTACCATCTAGATTATCTTGAAAAGCTATGAAGCATCATCTCTGGTTACTACATGGACGGGAAGCCACCAGAAAATCCTAGGGCTTTAGACTAGATTGGAAAGTCAAAAAAGGCAACAGCAAGCCATCTCTTTACTAATATCAAGAAAACAATAAGGACTTTGTGAAGTCACCAGGAATGATTACTAATTCATATCACTGAATGCTATGAGACATGTTCTGAAAAAACTTAGCTTAAAGCAAAATTGTCCAACTTAGAGACTATTCAACCCTTCCTGAAGGATTGCCATTAGTTTTCTACATCATTAATAGAATTGCTGTGAAGTGTTAGAGTTGAAGATTACCACTAGCTCCAAATTTATCCTATTATGAGGTGAAAAGAAAATTGTCTAACTGGGAATAAAAAGCTTTAGGGCCACACTGATGGGGGAAGGAATTTTTTTTTATATGTTCACTCATATTATTCACTAAATAAATGTTCCCACACCAGGTAATTGGCAAAAGCAGAGAATGGGCAAAGAAAATGATCTAACAGATGGACATACTTAGGTTCCCACTACTAAATAGTGTCATCTTGCGGGACTAAGCAGGCATGCCTTATCGCACATCTCTGAGATTCAGAAGACCCTGACCCTCTGTATATTCTGAAAGGCTGTGAGGACCAAGAGCACGGGTGTCAAACTCAATCACGTCACGTGATGCATCGTGACATATCACAACACTTTCTGCCTTTGCGGAGCTGAGGTGGGTGTGGCCTGCGGGCTGCCAGTTTCATATCCCAGATCTAGAGCATTACGGCTTTTTTCCCCCCACTAGGGCTAGGATGTTAGGGGAGCTGAAGCTCAAGTATTTGTTTATTTTTGTGTAATTATAATACCTCAGTTGTTCTTCTTTGCTTTGGATTATTCTTAATGTTGATTATACAGTTTTATATAGATTTTTTATTGATTGTTTGCTATCTAGAGTTATGTATTTAAAATTGTTGGCCCTATAAAATGTTTAAATAAATTTATTTAAAAAAAAAAGAAATTACAACTGAATTCCTGATCAAATAGTCTCTTGATAGGGGAAACAAAGGGCAGATTTGCTCAGATTTATCCAAGCTCATAATAATGCATTATGCTTGTTTCTCCTATATGCATGATTAAAATGCTGACAATAGTTCATTCAGCCTAGTTTAAGCATGGTATATAAACATTGGACTGTTGCATCATTAAACTAGAAGCCTGACAATGAAACCATAGAAAGTAGAGGAAAAAAAAACAATTGACTCTCCAGTTTAATGAAAGCAAATGAAATCATAGCCCTGTGCTCCTACATCATGCTAACCTAGGCCAAAAATACCAGATAGCTTACTTGCCATACTCACTCAAGGAAAAGACCAGCAGTCACTGCTTAATCATAAATCTATATAAGCATGATGTGGAAATGTGATAAGAACATAAGCTGAAAAAGTCTCCCAAGGCAGAAAAGAGAAAGATGAGAAAACAGCAAAAACAAACTTAACATGCCTAAGATAGGATACATAGTCCACAAAACATGGGCAATAGATAGTCAACCTCAGGGGCATGCACCTAATCTAACAGGGATTGAATGCAGTCAGCAATAAAAGTACAAGCAGTTGTGATGCTAAATAAACATGAGCATTAGTAATTAGTAATCTGTTTCCATCCCAAGATGCTGATATCAAGGATTGTGGGAATAGTGATTAGTCTTTCCCCATTAGAGCACAAATCTCTCTTTCTTATATGTGTTGTAGGATATATAAATAATCACATTTAGGGGAGATCATCTGAAATCAGATTTGTCGTGAATTGATGATTTGAATGGATCTATTTTACTATGATTAGCTCTGAATCCAATTTGTGGCAAAGAACCTAGGAATGTTTTCAAAACAAGGAACTAAAGATTCACAAACTCTAATATCTTCAAACTGAGATAAAATCTAGAACACCATAACTACAGAAAACATAAAGGAAATATTTATTAAAGCCGTATATTAAATTTTATATTAGCTGTTCAATTATGAATTTGAGATGGCAGCCATATAAATTGAAATAAATGTATTGTAATATACATTTATTTATACATTTAATAATGACTAAATAGTTGGTATACAACAGGAATCTGAGTGTGACAGGGAATGATTTCTGTGTGGAGGAATCTAAAAATTACCATGGTTGGCAAGTCAGTAAATAAAATGATCACATGATCAATGAAGAAAACCAGGACACAAAGGTAGATATAGGTAGTCCTTGGAATATGAGCATTTTTTCAGCAACTGTTCAAAGTTATGATGGCACTGAATGAATGGTACCTATGATGGATCCTCATAGTTCCAGCTGTTGAAATATCCCATGATCCCAATTTCTTACATTTCCAGCTGGCTTCCCACAAGCAAAATCAATGGGAATGCTGTCAGGAAGTTGGAAGTTGCAGTCATGAGCAGTTCTTGCTTAATGGTGGCCACCAGGACTGCCGGAATTGCCATAGCTAAACAGTGTGGTCATGTGACATTGTACTTTATGATGTCACTTAGTGACACAAATTCTGGTCCCAACTGCTGTTGTAGCCTAAGGACTAACTGTATTCTTGCTGAGAAATTAAAATAATATCCTTGAAGATAATTACTAAAAGAAAAGACATGATAAAACACCCAGCCGGGTTCTGGGCATCTATACTGCATTGCTAAATTATAGTCATACAAAAAGAGGATAATAAATTTTGTAAACAAATAAAAATAAAATTTGGTTTTAATAGAAGGAAAAGGTAATTATTCTATAACATTATCAAAAACTAAGCAACCTGCAGAATTATTACACTTTTATTTTTATTGTAAAAAAATTAATATCAGTATTAAAAATTCAAGAACATTTTACCTCATACTAAAAATTATAAATGATAATGTTGGAAATAAAATACTGCATATGATTAACCTAGAAAGACAACATGAAAACTGAAAAATATAATTGAATCATGCAATAATTATACATTTACTGATTTAATTTACTTTTACATTTTTTATTTTTTTTGTTACAACTTAAACCAGAAGTTCTAGAAATTCAGCATATTTTATTGCACGTTGTTGAAAAAACACACCAAATACAGATAGTCCTCAAGTTACAACAGTTCATTTAGTGACAATTCAAAGTTACGGCACTAAAAAAAGTGACTTATGACCATTTTACACACAGCCATTGCGGCATCCTCATGGTCACATGATCAAAATTTGGATACTTGGCAACTGGTGCAACTGGTGACTGGGGTCATGTCATGTCATCACCTTTTGCAACCTTCAGATAAGCAAAGTCAATGGGGAAGCCAGATTCACTTAGCAACCATGTTACTAACTTAAGAACTGCAATAATTCATCTAACAACTTTGGGCAAGAAAGGTCGCAAAATGGAGCAAAACTCACTTAACAAATGTTTCACTCAGCAACATACATTTTGGGCTTAATTGTGGTTGTAAGTCGAGGATTACCTATAACTCATCTGAAAACAAGGAACTAAAAAACTAAAAGAAAAATGTTATATATTATGGACTTTGTTTCCTGTTATACCACTGATACAAAAAGCATTCATTTCAAAGGCAAAACAAGATGAGAAAAAAGAGGGAATAATATTTGCTATATAAAGTGATTAGCTGATCATTTCAGTTTTTCTGAACCTAAAATACTACCAGCAATTTGACTTCTGAGCCTTTTAAAAACTTTTAGCATATCACATAAATCCAACATCACAATCTAATTTGGTGGAATAAACTTCACTCTCCTTTTGTGGTTTGTTAATTTGTTAATTATGTTATTAATAACTATGTTAATAAAGTATTAATATTTGATAGATTATATATGTCCAAGCACAATCCAATTTTTTATCTTAATTTGAAAAGAACCTTTTAGGAAACATTTATAATGATCTTTCCATTTATTCAACTATTTCAGAAAAAAACACAAAGAACGGTGGTGTAGTAGTAGTAGCTCCAGCAGCAGTAGAAAAAATAATTTTCCACACATTTTCTGGGTTTTTTCAGGATTTCCCTACCTTTCACCTGGCCCTAGCTTCCCTGCAAGCCTTCATAGTGAAGGCTTTTTTTTATAAGTTACCAAAGAAAATTCTTCATTTTCTCATTTTTTGTTAAATGGCAGTTTAATTCTATGATAACAATACTGGTATATATTTTATCACTCAGATAATTTGATTTGTTCTTAATTGCTGGTAAATTTCTTTTTGTATTTTGCTTGTGTCCCCAGGCCAGATTTTCGGTTCTTTCTTTTGATCAAGTTGAAGTACTGTGTGCCTGTCCTGATATAAAATTTGGTCCTCCCCCCCCCACACAATAACTAACCTGGAAGACACAACATCTGCAAACAGTGTTCTCTTTGTGATACATTGGACACTTTACAATGGAGACCGAAAGAAGTTCTTTTCCCTTCCCTTCCCTCATATCTCCAGCTAACATGAAAGCATTTACCAAAGCCTCCCCTTGGTAGGTTTAATCTTTTTTTGAAATTTGCTCTGATTCTGATGCACATACATTCAAAGGGAGCTTGACTATCAACGGTCTCCTTTTTGACATGGCTTCAGTGTTCTTCCAGAACAGTACTACTCTCATGTTCAAGAGTAGTCTAAACAAAAGCTGATAGGCACAGGAGAAGTTTCACCATAAAGCACCACAGAGAACTTCTCTCTTTTTCTTGCCTCTCTGAGACTTTTCTGCTTTCACTGCTGATCAGTTATACTCATCCAAGCCTTGAAGCTGATCTCTCCCCTCCCCACCCAAGGATGCAAAGGAGAGCCCAATCTGATAGAGCAGGGGTTCTCAACCTTGGCAACTTTAAGACTTGTGGACTTCAACTCCCAGAATTCCTCAGCCAGCAAAGCTGGCTGAGGAATTCTGGGAGTTGAAGTCCACAAGTCTTAAAGTTGCCAAGGTTGAGAACCCCTGTGATAGAGTCACTTTCTTACTGCCCAATGTCGAATAGTTCTGAAATCACACCAAAAGCTAGAGAGAATATACCCTATACCACCCAATAGATGCCATGCTGATAGGTATCTTTTGATAGTATTACCAAAAGAACTCACTTGATGAAACATATCAGATTACACTCCACAGCAAAATTGCCACAACTTGTTGTTTGCTTAAAGGAGAAAGCATTATTTTGTCAAGGAACAGCTAAGGGCAACTTTAACTATCTCAGGTATGGGTCAAGATGAGAAGAAGAAGAAAAAAATGCCTTAGCATGTTCATTTCATGGATAAGTGTAAATGAAGAAAATATCTTTAGGTAACATGTCATCCATCTCAAACAGGGTGATTTCTCATATGAAAATGTTTAGACTTTGATATTTCAAATTCCCTACTGAACAGAAAAGATGTGAGTAATATAATAAAATTATTATAAAATATTATATGAGCTCTGGTGGCTCAGTGGTTAGACTGTGTATTGCTGGCTGACTGTTCACTGCCAGGAGTATGATGCTGACCAGCTGAAGGTTGATTCAGCCTTCCATCCTTCCAAGGTCAGTAACATGAGGACCCAGATTGTTGGGGGCAATATGTTGAGTTTGTAAACTGCTTAAAGAGTGCAATAAAGACTATGAAGCAATATATAAGTCTTACTGCTATTGCTATTCAATCGATACTTTTCCACTAGGGAAAGTAAATTGGGTAAAGGTAAAATTTAAATAGTAGGGAGAATTCAATTAAAGAAAACAACTAGGTAAAATACATGAAAACCAAATTCATGGGTTTAACCTATTGAGCAAAAAATAGAAAGTAAACTTAGGGAAAGAGAGTACATGAGAAATCAAGACAATTCTTATAGCCTGGCACATTGTAGGCACCAAATACTAATAGCAATCCATTCTTAACATGTTCCATACATCTTTAACACCAGTTCCAGGGCTCTGTTCTGGGCCCAGTGCTCTTCAACATCTTCATCAATGATTTGGATGAGGTGATAGATGGGAAACTCATCAAATTTGCAGACGACACCAAGCTGGCAGGAATAGCCAACACTCCAGAAGACAGACTTAAGATACAGAAGGATCTTGACAGACTTGAACATTGGGCACTATCGAACAAAATGAAATTCAGTGGTGAAAAAAGTAAGGCTCTACATTTAGGCAAGAAAAACCAAATGCACAGGTATAGTATACCTTGCTCAATAGTAGTAACTGTGAGAGGGATCTTGGAGTCCTAGTGGACAATCACTTAAATATGAGCCAGCAGTGTGCTGCAGCTGCCAAAAAAGCCAACACAGTACTAGGCTGCATTAACAGAGGGATAGAATCAAGATCACGTAAAGTGTTAATACCACTTTACAATGCCTTGGTAAGGCCACACTTGAAATATTGCAAACAAAAAAAGATGTTGAGACTCTAGAAAGAGTACAGAGAAGAGCAACAAAGATGATTAGGGGATTGGAGGCTAAAACATATAAGGAACGATTGCTGGGTATGTCTAGTTTAATGAAGAGAAAGATTAGGAATGACATGAAAGCAGGCATTGCCACAAAGAGAGAGTCAAGCTATTCTCCAAAGCACATGAACGCAGGACAAGAAGCAATGGATGGAAACTAATCAAAGAGAGAAGTAACTAGCACTAAGCAGAAATTTCCTGACAGTCAGAACAATTAATCAGTGGATCAGAAGTTATGAATACTCCAACACTGGAAGTTTTTAAGAAGAGACTGGACAGCCATTTGTCTGAAATGGTATAGGGTTTCCTGCCTGAGGGGGTTGGACTAGATGACTTCCAAGGTCCCTTCCAACATCATCATCATCATCATCATCATCATCATCATCATCATTATTATTATTATTATTATTATTATTATGTTAACCCTAACTATGGGTATTTGAAAGCTTAAGAGGAAATTTGGATGTGATACTATAAACCACTTTTTATACATTTTACATGGATAGACAATAAATTCAGGATATATTATTCTCTCTTGCATTTTAAAATGACAAATGATAATCCTGGAAGTTAAGTTGGTCAAAGAGAAAAAACTATTAGATAAGTTGTTGCCATCTACTGCTATTTTCTTATAAATATCCAGTTCTGTGAAATTATTAATCAATTGACTCAAGAAGTTTTATGGAATACATAATAAACTTAGGTGATTATGAGTTGTTTCACACTTCAGTCCTCAGCAACCTATCTGATGAATTGCATACATAGATTATGCTTGTCTTATAGTTGTATCACTGATTGAGACCAAATGGATGAATTGTAAACAAATATGACACTCCCAAATTATCTACAACTATACTAAATAGAATATCATCGTAAAGTAACAATAACAGTTGTGAAGTGCCAAATGACTTTTGTTAAATGTCTAAATGGCATATCAAAGAAACTTCTGGGGACAAACAAGAAACACAACAAACTGAGAATGGACAATACTTCAACTGCAAATTCTTCTTTTACTAGTATTGTTTAGGGTATTACTTAATTTATATTACATATGCAAAAGTACAAAGCACTTTTTAAATCAAGAATCCAACCACAAATTCTGTCAACCACTGACAATATTTTAAAATATGACGAATAGAAACAAAAGCCAAGAGTATATATGACACGTACAACAAAATTAAACTTGAAGCTTTTTATTGTTGAGACCAGTTTTCTAGCTACAAAATTAAACATTTATAATTGACAAGTTTTTAATAGCAATAATGAAATAGTTCTAAAAAAGAGAAACAGTTTGCTTCTTTTTTAAAACAAAAGATTCAGAATCACCATGGAGTGAAGTAATAGTTTCAAGAGAAGGGCGCCATTATGGCAGCAGTAATCAACTGACACAGATTGTCCAGGTCTATGGAAAATAAGAGTTAGTAGTGCTTCCTTGTAGCTATGGCTAGAAATAAGACTATATTTGGATAATAGTGATGCCCTGCTAATACAGTACATGCAAATTAAAACAGAGATAAGTCAGCATCAAGAAATGCAAGTTTGTCTATTCCATCATCACATGGGGAACAGAAGTATTACTTATTATATTGAAAACTTCATTACTCCTCACTTTTAAATATTGGAAAATCAAGGAAGCATGGTTTTTCAATATTCTTGGAATAAAATACTTTTTTCAAACTACTGTAGATGTAGACAGGTAAGTTTTTGAAAATTTAAAATCCTTTCTTTCTTACTTAGACGGGAAGAGCCACCTTCTCCATACATAAGGCCTGCTTATTTCAACTTCCAAAGAGCAAAAGCTGGCTCTGCAAACCTTCAGTGACCAAGAACAAGCTGCACAAAGCCTTGGGGGAGGGGTGCCAAAGAAAATCCTACACCTTTAACCTTCACCAAAGCAACTCTCCTCTTTTCACCCTCACATAATATTCAACAAAATGCATTCAATTACATTTTCATTATAATGAACACATGCAATAAGCTCCCATTTTTGAAAACAGCATAGAGACATCAAGTTACAATTTTAAATATATATATATATATATATTTACCAGGATCAAAGTCAGGGATGCGAGCTTGATAGTCTGCTCCGACCCTCATTCCTACATCTGCAATGGAAGAAAAAATAAATGCATCTCTTAGAGGGGCGGAGGGGAAAGGACGCCTTTCTCTTCAATGATTGAAGTATAGTCATTACAAATTAAAATGTGGAGATTGTGATCTAGAAGCATCACAGACAATGCAATAGACAATTACCAATAAGCACAAGCCTTGCTGCTTTGATAGCCTCAAAGCCTTAGAACAAGTAGGAAGAGAGAAAGAAGAAAAAGATTACTCCCCCCCCCACCACCACATATACACCGGAAAAAGAAATGCCTACTTCCCTTTAACATTCCAGGTAGGGATTAATTTCCAGAGAGGCAACAATTGTGTTAAAAGAAATTTAGAGAGAAACAGAAACAGTCCCTTTACTTTATTGTGCTGATACAGCACAATGTTGCGTGGGTGTATGTATCGAATGCATTCCTAGCAGAGAAAAACAAGACAGAAAGGGCTGCACGTAGCTAGACCTGCGTGCACCACTCTTCAGGGCAATCCTTTCAGTCAGACACCCACAACGTACTCGTTCGCAAGGTTATATGCCACTAAACGTGTACAGTTGTACACACACGTAAAATGCCATGCAGTACCGCGCCTGAGCTGCGGTTGCATTACACGTGTGCCCATTGTGAAAATGCACACCCACTCTCCACGGGATAGAGGGATGATGGACAGACGGACAAGCAGACAGACACACACACAGCGTGCGCGCGCCCGAGGGAAACAGAACGCGCGCGCACACGCGCGTACACCCCCACACTCACGTTATCCGCACCCTGTGTAGACCCTATCTCGCGCGCACCTCTCACACTCTTTTGCACGAGCGCGCGCGCATGCTCGCGCATATACCCCAACACAGAGAGACCTATAGAGACTCAGTGCAGTCGCCACAGCCAGCCAGTACAGAGGGGCGACGTAACTAGGCCCAAGTCTACCCGCTCGGAGAAAAAGGGTGGGGGAAGATAAAGCCCGCACCGTGCTCGTCGCCGCTGTCACCGCCGCCGCCGCTGCCGCTTTCCGGCTCGAAAAAGTTCCCGTTGGAACCGGGGCTGCTGCCGCCACCACCGCCGTTCTTGGTGCCGTTGGGGGCCGCCCTGTTCTTAGCGCCCACCAGGAGCTCGGCTCCTTTCTCCATCATGCCCGGCATGACGGCTACCCAAGAGAGGGGCGGCCGGCGGTGGCAGCGACTGCCGAAGGGGGGGAAAGTTAATGTGGAGCCGCCATGTTGGTGCCCCTTTCCCCCGCCCCCCCCGCGGCTCGGGCCGCCGCGGCGCCGGCGCCTCCTTCGTTCTCCCCCCCCTTTACTCGTCTCCTCCGCCCACGGGTAGGGGATCCCTCCGCCGCAGCCCAGCCGGATCTAGCCTCACACGTTGGGAACGTTCGGCGAAGGCGGTAGCGGCGGCGCTTTGCTGCTGTCTTCTGCCGCGCGAAGTTGGCAGAACCACTCCTTCCGCGGCTATCAGCGCCGCTCTATAGGGCTCTTGCTGCTCTTCGGTAACCAAGCGCCGAGACTGCTTTCCTTGAGCTCGGCGAGACCCCTCGCGTGATCCCGGTCGTGCGCACGTTGGCCTCGCTCGTATCGGAGGATGTGCTCCCGGGTTAAATAGAGCTTGCACCGCCGTTTTGAGCGTGCCTTTGGCAAATGTGGATTGATGTTCTCTGGCAGCTCTCATTCCGGCACTTTTTTCATGGCTTATGAAATTGTCACACTGTATTTTTAGGCTTCACTGTTTTAAAGTGTTAGGCGTAAACTTGATACGATTCGGGTTATTGGCACTATGAAAGGGGAGGATGATGATTAAAACTTCTTTCATATTCCAGGGGGTAGTGAAAAGAGTGGGGGGCGCAAACATTCTGGGGGGAATCCTCTGTATGGGGTTACAGGAAAATTGTTATAGTCACAAAAATACACTGGAGTTTGGGAAGTTAATGTTTAAGCAAGTGTCCTTTGGGCTGACTACTTGTAATTTCAACATTGCTGAATGATTACCACATGTGAAATGAATCAAGTGGGTTGGGATCCAACTATTCAGGGTAGGAACTCAAAAGTAACCCAGGCAGATGCCACCTAGTCTCTGCTTGAACTCAGCCCCCAAAGGGGAACACACCACTTTTCTTTCCAAGTAGTTCCACTGCCAAACTGTTCCTGCTATTATATTAGGAACAGATTTTATTCCTAATATTCCATATGTCATTTTATAACTGAAACCATTTTATGCATCTGGCACTCGGTGTTTTGTTTGACCAGTTGACAACTCCTGGCTGATCTTGTTTAGGCTTTGAAACTAAGCAGAATTGGTCTTGCGTATATTTTACCTTTCTAGAAGATCTCCAAAGGAATGGCAAAGGTGGAGGCTAGTCTGGAGAGACAAAAACATAAAGCATTCTAGATGAAAACTGACTTTCTGAATTCCCCAGAAAGCTATAGGAAGTTTTTCCTAGAGTTTAGGCCATTAAAGCCTGACTTTTCCAGCTGCTTGGTCTAAATCAGGGGTAGGCAACCTTGGCTCTTTTTATGACTCATGGACTTCAACTCCCAGAATTCCTGAGCCAGCCATGCTGAGGGGAAAGGGAGAGGTTTCCAAGCTGAGCCATGCTGGCTCAGGAATTCTGGGAGTTGAAGTCCACGAGTCATGAAGGAGCCATAGGTCCCCCATGCTGGCTTGGGAATTCTGAGAGTTGAAGTCCACGAGTCATAAAAGAGCCAAGGTTGCCTACCCCTGGTCTAAATGAAAGAATGGATGTTGTGAAAAACAGAAGGCTTTTGGAGTTAGAAGGGAATGGTTTGAGATTTGGGTGGCATGGAGTACAATACAATGAAGGTTAATGTAGCTTTTAAAATTCATTTTGTTAGATGTGCCAGCCACCCTGAGAATATGAAACATAACCCTAGGCTATGCCTTGGATCTCAGCACAGGAAGCATTTTATAGAATAGAAATGATTACTCGACATAAATGATTGACTTGCTTTGATACATTAGAATTTTGTTAAGGAGAATGTAAAATAAAAACAAGAGAACTGGTGGTAGAAGTATATTCATTCATGTTAATGGTAATTATTAGAAAGATTTAAACTAGATAAAATAACTTGGGTTTTGAACAATGTAAGATGAATTTGAAATGGAATTGTGTACAAATGATGAAGATGTTATTGCTAAATTGTATCAACTTTTTATTGAAATATGAAATAGAAGAGGAAGAAGTGAAAATGAATGGTAAAATGGGCTAAAACGTTGGTTACAATATACATTGGATCACTGGGATAATATATGGTTGAAAGGATTGAAATTTACACTATGTTATGATCGTAAAGATAAGTTTTATAAAAGGTATTGTTGGTACATATACCTTGGAACAACTATCCAGAATGTCTAAATGTTCTTCAAACTTATGCTGGAACTATAACCAACAAGAAAGGATATATTATCATGGTGGGCATGTAAAAAAGCCAGAAAATGTTGGAATCAATTACATATAATAATACAGAAGATTCTAAAGACTCATAAACAATTGAAAACTTAAACTTTTATTTTGGGATTGATTTATAAGCTGTTGGAAAAAATTATGAACTTTATTTTCATACATGACAACTGAAGTAAGATTGTGTAATACACAAAGGTTAAAAAAAATCAACTTTACCCATAAAGGGGGAATCAATAGTAAAGATGGTGGAACTTGCTGAGATGGACAGATTGCTTTAATTAGCGATGAGACATTGCTTAGGTTTAATAATGATTGGAAACCTCTTGTTTTTTAAATATCTTTATGAAATTTCACAATCAAATATCAAAAGACTAACATAAAAGGGAAAAGGGAACAGCAAAACAAAATGACAAAAATATATTAAATTTATAACAAAGATGACCTTCAAATTTCTTTTAATCCAGAAATAATTACAACTTCTCTAGCTTTAAACAAATGATGCTAATCTTTAAAATAAAATACTAATAAACATTCCAAAATGCCAATATTCATAAGATATTCTCTTAATAGTAAGAAATTTAATCAAGCAGAATAGTCAATTTCACCATTGGACTAGCTCCATTAATTTCAGAACCCATTCTATATTTCTCTTTCCATCTTTGGGCATATAGCAACCTTGCTGCTGATGTCATAAATAAAAACAAAGTGCTAGGTTTTCTTTCCAACATATACTGATAACTACTGTAAAAGAAAATTGGAAATATTTTTATAATCCTTTTTTTTCTTTGATTTTTGCAATTTTGTCTTTCCTCTTTTTTTGCTTTTTTCATTCTAAAATACTAGTGTTTATTGTAGTGTTGTAGTTTACTTTGTTGTAATGTGATTTTCGGGTCTGTTTACTGTATCTGTTTATTGTCACCAGTGTGAGATTCTGAATTGGTTATTTTTCATGTAAACTTTATTGTATGAATAATTCCTAACCTTATTTTACAGAAGGGGGCATGTAAACTGCTCAAAGATGGTGATGATTTGATCAATATATAAGCCCAATAAATAACTTATTGTTGTAAAGAAAACTTCAGATTTCTGGTAATTTAATAGTAGGAATCAAACTAATTTGAGAATATGCTTCTTAACCTTGGGATGTTGTGATACTCCTTCAGCTATTGGTTATTGTATCTCAAAGTTAAAGATGCATAGATTGCAATCATTCTACGTAATTTACAAGCTCATTATTATCTTTGCTGTTTTATTGACCATTCCATTTAGTCTGAATCCTTAAGATGTCATTCCAGATCTAGACAAAGTCTTTGAGATGATATCTGACTGGTACAAAATAGAGTATAACTACAAATATTTGAAGAATATTTCTGAATCTCATATGCCAGTGGTGGCGAACCTATGGCACGGGTGCCAGAGGCGGCACGCAGAGCCCTCTCTGTGAGCACGCGCGCCATCGCCCCAGTCCTAGGCCTTCAGCTGGGTTTTATAAAACCTTTTTGCTTTAGGCCTCCGCCGCCGTGTGCAAAAACTCTTGCAAAGTTGGAATTGATTGATTGAACTTTTTAGTCCCACCCAGTGTGCCGTTACCACCGCAACCATGCCCTCCCAATGGGATACGCCCAGCCAATGGGCCACGCCCAGCCAATGTGCCACACCCACCCGGCACCCGACAATGCATAAGTGGGTTTTGGATTGCAGTTTGGGCACTCGGTCTCTAAAAGGTTTGCCATCACTGCCATATGCAGTTTGGAAGCTGAAATGAGCCTTGATTATCTACTTTTCCAGAGACAGTTGAAGATAAAATGCTACCACATACTGTACTCAAGATCCTAGCCAGCGATAGTAGTTGTTACTGCAGTTGTTAAATTAGTAACATGGTTGTTAAACTGGCTTTCCCATTGACTCTGTCAGAAGATCACAGAGGATGATCACATGACCTTGATCACGTGACCACAGGGATGCTGCAATGGTTGCTTTTTTCAGTGCTGTTGTAACTTTGAACGGTCACTAAATGAAATATTGTAAGTTGAGGATTACCTGTAGTTAAGTGCTGAATGCAATCCAGTTAAACAGTGTTTTTTTAAAAAATATTATCAATCAACTGGTAGCTAGTATAGGAATTTTAGATATGCTTATGTTTTCTTAAATAGACCTTGATAACTTAAGGTATACATTCACACATGCATACAAAAACATCAATTAGCATTATTTAGTGTAATTACACTAATTGATGTATGCTAAAAAGTGGTTGGTTATGCTATACAATAGATCAGTGGAAACAGAAAAAAAAGAAAAGCATGTCAATTAAAAACATTAAGATGATCAGAGGGAAAATGTACGAACTGCCCTCCTGTTGCTGTAAAACTGATGCCATTAAATATAACCTCAAGATATCTGGTAGTCTGAGGGGAAATAAAAACTGTTCTTTTAGATTTGAGTTTAATGGGAGGAAGAAAACAGGTTATAAAAATAATTCAACTTGTGAAATGTTGATTATATTTGAATATTTAACTTATTTTTTAAAAATTACATGTTTAGAACGCTTTATGGAGAAACATTTGAGTGTAGACCTGAGTTTGAACTGTCCAGAATTGTTTAAAGATGGGTAGCTGTATAAATATTTTAAACAAATAAACAGACCAGCTGATAATATAATAATGATGACAATGAGTGGACATTACTGCAGTCTTGTATATTACATATTTATTGGAAAATCTATAATAATTTCCTTTTTTTTAAAAAAAATTGAGTTATTGAAACATATAATGTAGACATTTTAGTTACAGGCATTCTAGGTTAAACAGATATTC